CTGGCCAGGGCTATTCTTTGACTTTTTGTTGCTGTTGTTCAACCATTTAAAAATGTAAAGACCAGTCTAAACTTGCCAGCCATGCAAAAACCTCCGTGCAAGTGGGATCTGGCCTGTGGCTGTATTTCCTGTTCTGGATGCTGAGAGTCTAGCTCTAACGTCTAGAGCTCAGTTTTCCCACCTGAAAGGGAAACATAACTCACAGGGTTGTAAGGACAAGCGGTGGCATACTTTTTTTACTTTGCTTTATAAATTTAAGGCATTATTATTAAATGCGCACCTTTTATTACAAGGCCAAGGATTATGTTACCAACTTTTTCTTTTAACTAGAACTCGCTGTTGTCATAGTTTGGACCGCATATGACAAAGAGCTAGTGCGGGGCTAGTTTTTTCTCTCCCGTTCTGCTTTCATTCTTTACCTGTGATTTCATTCTATGAAAAAGGTGACATCAGATAATAAATTCTTGGTGACTCTTACTTGTGACATTTAGGAAAATGGATTTAAGGGATTTATTGGACCATGTGTTGTAGGATTTTTCCATCCAAGAACAAAGGATTGGCTATTATTGAATTGAGCACTAAGGGCCATTCAAAAAAAAAAAAAGCAAACCTCATAGATGGAAATGGTCATCTTGCCACAGGCTCATGTTATTGGGAATGTATTGAATATCTGACTCCAGATGGTCAATTTCTCTGAGAAGCTGGGAACGAGAACTGTTTCGGGTTTTTATTTCACCATAAAAGTCCCACTTTTATTAGGTATGAGAAATCTCGTGGCCAGCTCTGTCTTTTGCTGTGAACTCTGCCCCACTGTACTAGTACTTTTATTTTAAAAAAGGTTATTTCCTACTTGAACTTGATTCTCCTCTATTAGCAAAAAAACCTCTCTTGTGTCTGGGAAATCTATGAAATCTATTTTTTTTTCTTTTTATTCTTTATTTTTGGGAAATCTTAAAAGATTTTGTTGTAATAGCACGGGGAAATTATATTAATAATTTATTCTTTACAATGTACTTCATTATTTTTTGGGTTTTGTCTGATTTTTTTAAATTATGAGTGTCAGACTTCTTGAATCTCAGGCTTTTGATTTTCTAAGTCCTCTAAAAGTGCTTTCTTATATCTTTTGGAACGGTTTTGTCTCTGCAGTCCCTATACTTGATAATTGCCAAATAAATGTTATTTCGACTTAGGCCTGCAACATTCATCAGCACTTCTCTACATTTGTTGCATGAAAGTAAAAAATTCTTTACTTTAGTGCCGTGTAAAAACAAATGATTGTGTTTTGGGATAAGCACAGCAGTTTAGGAGATAATTATAACTTGATTGAATCATTCTCTCCCAGAGATGCATTTAGGCATAAAGCGTTAGAATTTCTTCCCTTTTGCTGAACTTCTTTGAATCCTAGGCCCCCCTCCAGATTTCTGGGCCTGTTTCTTCCATGACTTGCTTTCCTGCTAACCTTTAACAAGTGTGTTGTTACGATTTCAGCTTGCCATGTACATAACAGTGAAACTAAGTTGTTAAATCTAACATTTATTTAAATTGGTTAGACATATCACACTTTCAATTTAACTTTCCGAGAACTGTTAATGACTGGTAAAAAGGGAAGATTAAAACTATGCATATATTTCTTTAAATGTTTTGCGAATATTAGAGAATGACTTGTTACTGTTAATTATTTTTCTGGACTTTCTAGTTACTTTTGAACCAGATATATAACCTGATGGTTTGTCAAATGTTCATTAGGAAAGAGGGTCATCAGCGTGCTAATTGCCTTGTGCTATTTACACCGGATATTTTAAAGATCAGAAGACCGCCTCAACAACCCAGCTTGTTCCTGAGAAAATGAGACTTTGACTTACAGTGTGGGCCATAATCTGATTTTTAGTTTGTCTGAATCAGGCCTTTAGTACAACTGGAAGCTTACTCCTCAGTTCTCTGGAAAAAATGGTAGAAAATAAAAATAAACTTTGGGAGGCATACAATGGTGTGAAAGTTCTGCTGGGAATGTGAAATTTTCACTTAAAAATGCCTTAGAGTAAGGCCTCTTCTTAGCACCCCCACACCTCAATAAAACCTGGATATTTAAAGAATTCTTATTACCAAGGTGTCACTAACAGAGATTAGTCTATTCACCTTTGGGCCAAATCTTCTTCCCACTTCTGATTTGGAGATAACCTAGACCTAAGGCAAGATCAGCTTTTTGTAAAAACTGCAGGTAATATGACCCTTCAGCTTTCTTTTTAGTTGGCTGGTCCTTGGCTATTTAGAGATGGCAGGGTGAATTAATTATTAACAGCAGTTCTAGCTCTGCCTGTTATTTTATCTCTGCAGCTTTCCTGCTGAGGGCCAGCCAGGGCATCAGCACTTAAGCCAGGGGAAATAGATCTAGAAGTTACCATCACCCTGTCTGGGATGTAATAGGATTTTCTTTTTCTTTCCCTCCCTACTTTCCATCTAGCTCACCTTCATATTTCATGGGGTTGAGACAATCTTTGGTAAAATAAAGCGATGGAAACTTGATTATCATAATAATACATCAAAACTGCAGAGGTGATAGTTTGCTTTTGAGACAGTCCACTCTTTTTTTCTTTTTAGTGATTTCAGAAAGAGGAAGGGAGAGGGAGAGAGTTATAGAAACATCAATGAAGAGAGAGAATCATTGATCAGCTGCCTCCTGCATGCCCTTTATTGAGGATGGACTCTGAAACAGGGTCCTGACCAGGAATTGAACCGTGACCTCCTTAATTATGGGTCAATGTGCAACCATTGAGCCACACCACCCTGGTGACAGTCCACTCTTAAACTGAGAGATTTAAAGCTTTCTCACAGAAATACACAGTAAGAACAAGCCAACTGTCAGCCTCACCATGATGTTAGAAGCAGTGAGTGGAACCTCAAGCCTGGAATGGGGAGACCTAGTTGGTGTCAGAGAAAGGGATCATAGAATTTGAGGAGGTGAAAAGGAGGAACCAGAGAGAAGAGATTTCTGAAGTAGATTCTGTAGGGGCTGAAGTCGATTCCATGGAAAAGTTTCCATTGGAACCAGGGAAAAGTGCTCTGAGTAGCTTTCTGGGGTTGGTGTGTATCGATGACCCAGAAGTTGTACATTGGTTCCATTTTTGATAATGGCCTGTGCCTGTACATACATGTAGACATTTCAGGTGAAATTCTGAGGTTATAAACAAAGATGGGAAGATTCTAACTTTGTATGAAAACAGGACCTACTGGTTAAACTCATGTGTTGTTGTGTTTTTTAAGTGAACCTCTAGAGTCAATGTTGCAAAACTATTTTGAGTCTAAAACTCAGTTCTTTAAAAAAAAGGTCAAATTTAGAAACTTTGTTTTGTAGATAGTCGAGATCCATAATCAGATTACAAACTAGTTATTCTGTAGAAGACTCCTTACCCTCATTTGCAAGGAATGGTTCTCCCGGGGACAGTCTTTTACTCTGGGAACAAAGGTGTGACTGCTCTGCTCAAAGCCAGCCCTAAACCAATGTGTTTTAAAATGTAATTCCTGAGGTGGCTGGGGGTGAGGGTGGGGGTGGAGAAATTGAGCAAAAAGGAGAAAAAAGAGAGAGAAAGAACTCATGGACACAGACAACAGTGTGGTGATTGCAGGGTAGTGGGGAGAGGTGTGAGAGGTATAGAGGTGATAAATGGTGATGGAGGAAAAAATTAAAAAAAAAGTAATTAAAAAATGTAATTCTTGGAATATGCTCATCAGGAATGCCACATGTGCTTGTTAAAATGCATATTCCGGGGCTGTATAATCAAGCCCAGGAACATGCGTTCTTACTGATCACTCATGCTTAGTACATTTGAGAACCTCTACTAAAGCAGTGCTAATCAGGTTTACGCATGGTCACTCCCATGTTCCTTCCTCCATTTCCCATCTCTCATTACAATCACCCTTACATTTAAGGAGACTCTTGTGTTTCTGTGAACTCCTGAATGATAGACGTTGTGGTACTCATGTTTGCTGTGATATTTCTAACATGTATTATTGTGCCTGGTAGGTAGAAGAGTTTTAATGAGTATTTGTTGAACTGGTTGAATTAAATCGAGAAGTAATGATACAGTCAGAATTACGGGAGAGCTAGAGCTGTTAGCTTGAGTCATGATGTATTAGGACGGTAAAAATTAGGTACCATGGCCTTCCTTAAAGTTAGTGCCTAGCTGTCCCTTTGGATGGAAAATAGTTCATCTGAGGGGGAAACATGGGGAATAAATATGATATGATTCATTCTATTCCATTGATTACAGGATAACTTTCCTTTGCCCATGCTTTATTTTTCCTGATGTTATTTTGTGCTGTTCACAACTTCTTGGTATAATCAGAACAGAGCAGTATATTTTGCTTTGGTCTTAGTCTTATTCCTAAGGGAAAAATCAGCATTTAGTGTTTTCCCAAGGAGATGCTCTCCCAGGACACTTTCCCCAAAGGACTGCAGCTCTGATTCATCCATTCTTTATTTCTTTTGCTTGCTTTGGTTTTATTTCATTTCTACCCTTGCTAAATCTTAATTAAATACATGCCGTAAACAAATGCATTCCAGAGGACAAGAAAGGACAGACCTCATGGCTATTTGTTTGAAGCTTCCCCTCCATGACACTTTCTGTTCACAGTTGAACTGCATATTAAAATGGGATTGGTGCCACCCCTCCCTTGCAGTGTGACAAGCCTCTGGTAAGAGGATGATGCTAAGTTCTTTGTCTAGTAGTTTTGTGGTTTTCCCTCTCCCATTGTTACCAGGAGTGTCTGAAAACAGTCTTCTACAGCTGTGTGGATTACATGGCTGCTGGTGCCTAAAGGGAAACATTCAGTTTGCTTCTGAATACTTTTTTGTTTTTGTTTCCTTTCAATATGAACATTATAAGATATACTCAAACCCATGAGTTTGAACTTGAGATTGCCAGTGAGGAGACTACGTGGGTTCTGGACTTTACCTTGCTAACAATAAACTTTTATTTATTTATTTATTTTACTGGGAATCTTTACATATCCTCATCAGAGACCACAGAAGTAATGCTATTATTAAAGACAACTGGGGCTTCTTGTAAACATTCTGGAGAGTCCTTGACCTCTTGGGAAAGTTGGGCCCCCTGCTCGGCTTCCAGCTGCTGAATCTTCCTTTCCTTTTCCTCTAAAACTTCTTCCAGCTGAGTTATCTTCTCCATCTGAAGGGAAACCTGGGTCGACAACTCCAAAATCAGGCCCATTTTTCGATCGCCTTCTTCCACAGGTGGGAGACTGCCATAGGACTCTTCCAGTAAGTTGTCGTCTAAAGCAAACAGGAAAAGGAAAGTCTGAGCACTTTTAATTGCGTTTCCCAGAACTCAGAGAGGGAAGGTGAAAAGCTTCATTTCTCACGTTCTAAAAAGACAACACAGATGTTGCATCATCTGGTCAAAGATACTGAGAATAGAATCTGGATCCAGTGAGGGGGAAGGATTCTGGGTGCTTGTGAAAAAAGAACTTGGAAGCCTCTGGAGAGGGAGGAGAATCAGCCTTTGCCAACTCATTTTGATACACATTTAACTTCCAATTAACCCTGGGAATGGGCTGTCCTTGAAAATCCAATCTAAAAACAAAAGCCATCCTAGGATGCACGTCATCCGGTTCCCTAAGACTCTTTCACAAGAGCTACAATCAAGTAGAAATATGCTTCAATTTGAATTTTAATTCAACCGGAGAAAAAAGGTCATTGCCCCTCTGAGAGAAGTGGTAATGAGAAAAGACTAGTTTCTTTAGAGTCGGCAGGGTATAATTTGAGCTGATCTAGAAAAACTCTATTAGCATGGGATCTCCCATAGAGATTCATTTCTTTTAGGTCTGAGGCTGTTAGCATTTGTTAATAAAAATCACAAATACTTCCTGGGCATAAAAGCTTATCCTTTATCAATTTCTATCAGTTTAACCCCTCAGGTAAGGATAAAGCACTGAGTAAGGAGGGAGAGAAAGGCTCTAACAAAGAGGTGAAAGATTAGTGGCTGGCAGCGGGAAACCCTTGAAAAGAAATCTCACTAGACCATCACAAACTTTAGCTGCTGAAAGCAAACCTCCTATTAGGCTTTAGCAATACCATTTTCCTTACCACTCTCATCCTGAAATTTCCCCTATTATAATTATTTTTCTGAGTTACATAAAAGGCAGATTTCAGCTATAAGAAGTAAAGGACGTCAGAGCTTGGATACAATTGTAGGAATAACTGAGCCAATAGTAAGTACATGGGTGAATCTGACACATGGTCTTGACGGTTAATTGCCATAGTAGAAGGTTCAGCATTTATTCAATCCCCAGTGAGAACAAACCCCACAACTACACTGTTAGTCCAGAATACAAAAGCCTGCTACTTCCCTGGCCTGTGTGGCTCAGTGGTCAGAGCGTCGGCCTGCACACGGAAAGGTGGTGGGTTTGATTCCCAGTCAAGGGTATGTACCTGGGTTGTGGGCTCACTCCCCGCCCTATGTCGGGGCATGTGCAGGAGGCAACCAGTTGATGTGTCTCACATCGGCGTCTCTTTCTCTCACCCCCTCCCTCCCTTCCACTCTCTCTGAAAAGCAAAGGAAAAAAATATCCTCAGGTGAGGATTGAAAAAACAAACAAAAGCCTGCTACTGTTGTGTACCTGCTAAGGATGAGACAGCTTTGCTGGGATAGTCCATGCAGGCAGGTAATCACCCATTTCTCAGCAAGTAGGACGAATTTGAAGTCATCACTTTCCCAAGGGAGCACAGGGTGAAAGGCTGTGCACTGAATTACACAGTGGGTAGTGTGCTTTTTGGCCTCATAAAAGGGATGAGAGGAGAGATCAGACTGTCCTCTGTTTCTAGAAAGTATTAGTAATATACTAGTTTTCAAGAATCCATGGAGAAATTTTTGTTCTGAACATTTGAAATCCTAACAATAATATTTAAGGAGATGGTGGTTTGAATACCTTTCTTTTTCTTTCTTTCTTTCTTTCTTTCTTTCTTTCTTTCTTTCTTTCTTTCTTTCTTTCTTTCTTTCTTTCTTTCTTTCTTTCTTTCTTNTAAGCCCAGCATAAAAGTTGCCTACATATTATTTTAAAAGCCAAAGAACTAAATTAGTCCAGTTGAAATCTAAGAAGATAATATAATATATAAGACCTCAGAGAAGCTTTTATTAAATCACTCAGAACAAGAATAACCTTCAGCTACAAGGCATCAAGTTTAAGCAACAAGGGCAGAAGTAACATGCCCTTCATATACACCTTGAAAGCGACGGTGGCTTTGGTTGCTGCAAATCCATTGGGCCTGTGGGTCAGCTCCACTCCATATTATTATAAGACAGCTCAAGTAGAAAAGAATTCTCCTAAGGTCTGTTATTTTTTTGAAAGGTAGTGAACAAAAAAGAGAATGGTAAAGAAAGTGCAATTTTAGTCAACTGCAATTTGACACCAAAAATCTCCTCTTTCTTCTTTGTTCTCTGGTTAGCTGGAAATAAATAAGAGCCTGCTTATCAGAATAAAGAAAATGAAACCAAAGTCTCTGAAAACACTAAGTTCATCTATCTCCCTTCCTTCCTTCCTTCCTTCCTTCCTTCCTTCCTTCCTTCCTTCCTTCCTTCCTTCCTTCCTTCCTTCCTTCCGAGTACCTTTCTTTATAAGCAATGAAAAAGAACTCAGACCTTGAAGGGGCATTTCGTTTGTTGCTCTGCAGCAGGCCTGTGCTTTTAGGCCCGGGATGGGGCTCCATATAGCAGTGGGCTAAGATGCCAGGGTCTCGCCTTTCCTTCTACCTCCCAGAGCTGTGCTGTCCAGTACGATAGCCACTAGTTACATGTGGCCATTAATCAATTGAATGTGGCTGGTCTGAACTGAGATGTGCTGTAATTGAGATGTACATATTTGATTTAAAAGACTGATATGACATATCTCATTAAATTTTAAGAATGATGTGTTAAAAGGTAATATTTTGGATTTCTTGTGTTAAAACACATTTTAAAGATTCTTTTCACTCGTCTGTTTTTACTTTTTAAAAAATGTGGCTACTAAAATATTTAAGATATTATATTTTCTGTCGAATAGTGACTGTACCAGAGTTTCCTTTTATTTTATTTTTAAATTTTTCTATTAAATTTTTATTTCAATTACCATTTACATTCAATATTATTTTGTATTAGTTTCAGGCGTACAGCTTAGTGGCTAGACAGTCATGTACTTTACAAAGTGTTCCCCCCGATACTTCCAGCACTTCCCCGGCACCATACATAGTGATTGCAATGTTATTGACTGTGCTCCCTGTGCTGTACTTTATATCCCCAGGACTATTCTGTAACCACCAATCTGTACTTCTCAATCCCTTCATCTTCTTCACCCAGAGTTTCCCCTTAGAGGAGCACTCTCTGGGGCCCAGGTGGATGTGTTCTTTGAAGATGTCTCTAGTTAACGTGTACAATTGTTATTTGGAGAGGGACACATAGGTCTTCTTTCTGTTACCCCAGAAGGTAGAAGCATGGAAATCTGGGCTTGGAAGAATAGGTTCTTATGGGTTGAAGTGAATTTCAACAGGAGAGAAAAGAAAAGATGGGAATGGCCGCAGGAGGCAATGGGAAAATGCTGAGGAAAGGAATGGCAGGCAGGGTGAGGATGCCTGGGCCACAGGCTCGGGAATGGAGGGTTGCATCAGGACCCTCTTGCCTCGTATGTGCCCATCTGTCACGTTCTCCTTTCTCTTTGACCTCTCCTTCAATCTTTTCTTTCCCCAGTTTCCCCCTTCTTTTTAGGAAAAGTTATCTCTACCAGTTGATACAATGAAGAAAGGAGTTTAGTATCACTCCAGAAGGCAAACTGGTCAAAAAGGGTATAATGCAATATAGGTAGAATAGTTTGTCCACCTAATTCTAATGATAAAGGGGCAAAAATGCAGCAGGGTGGCATTTCATAGGCATTATAATCACTAGGTCTACATCTCTGTCTCTGCTCTCTCAGAAGAGAGTAGTAGTAGAGAAAGAGAGGCAGGTGTCTTGGTCAGCTCAGGCTGCCATAACAAAATACCACGGACTGGGGGGCTTAAACGACAGAAATTTATTGTCAGAGTTTTAGAGGTTGGATGTCCAAGATCATGGTTCCAGCATGATCGAGTTCTGGTGAGAACTATCTGGTGTGCAGATATACTGCTTTTCATTGAGTCCTCACATGATATATAGAGAGAGACCACAAGCTCTCTAATGTTTCTTTTTTAGAAAATATATCTTTATTGATTTCAGGGAGAGGAAGGGAGAGGAGAGAGAGGTAGAAACATCAATGATGAGAGAGTCCTTATTGATCGGCTGCCTCCTGCATGCCCCCAACTGGGGATTGAGCCCACAACCCGGACATGTGCCCTGACGGGATCGAACAGCAATCTACTGAATCCTAGGTCAATGCTCAACCACTGAGNACATGTGCCCTGACGGGATCGAACAGCAATCTACTGAATCCTAGGTCAATGCTCAACCACTGAGCCATACCCGGCTGAGCCTGATATTTCTTTTATAGGGGCACTAATCTTAAGAGGGCCTCATCCTCCTGACCTCATTTAAACCTAATTAACTCCCAAGGGCACCATCTCCTCCTCCTCCTACTACATTGGGGGTTAGGGATACAACACATGAATATGGGAGTGGGAACAACTCAGCCTGTAGCACAGGTAGAGACACCTGGAAAAGGAGTAGAGAAGGAACATGAAGCTAAGAAAAGGACAGACGACATGAGGCCTTCGATTCCTAATGCACTGTTTTTATGTATTAAATGAAAATGGTGATAAGATTTATACACCAATAAAGAAATTAGAATTAGGTGGACAAACTCTTCTACCTATATTGCATTACACCCTTTTTGACCAGTTTGCCTTCTGGAGTGACACTATACACCAATAAAGGAATTTCTCATAACAAGTATATTTTACTATTAAATGACCTCTTTGCACATAAAACAAAAATATTTTTGCTCTGTTTTTAAACACGTTACAAATATCAAGAGTTCTAGCCCTGGCTGGTGTTGCTTAATGGTTAGAGCACTGGCCCACAGACCAAAGGGTCGTGGGTTTGATTCCTGGTCAAGGGCACATATCTGGGTTGCAGGTTCGATTCCTGGCCCCAGTCAGGTGTGTGTGGGAGGCAATCAATCGATGTGTGTCTCTCACATCAATGTCTCTCTCTCTCTCTCTTTTTCTCCCTTCCTTCCCTCCTCCCTCCCTTCCACTGTCTCTAAAACTCAATGGAAAAAAATATCCTCTGGTGAGAATTAACAAAAACAATAAAAACAATAACAAAGAAAAAG